CATCCACCTCACCATCCACCTCACCATCTACCTCACATCCACCTCACATCCACCTCACCTCCACCTCACCATCCACCTCACATCCACCTCACATCCACCCCACCATCCACCTCACATCCACCTCACCATCCACCTCACCATCCACTTCACATCCACCTCACCATCCATCTCACCATCCATCCCACATCCACCTCACATACACCTCACTAACCACCTCACATCCACCCCACCATCCACCTCACATCCACCTCACATCCACCCCACCATCCACTTCACATTCACCTCACCATCCACCTCACCATCCACCTCACCATCCACCTCACCATCCACCTCACATCCACTTCACATCCACCTCACCATCCACTTCACCATCCACCTCACCATCTACCTCACATCCACCTCACATCCACCTCACCATCCACTTCACCATCCACCTCACCATCCATCTCACCATCCATCCCACATCCACCTCACATACACCTCACATACACCTCACTAACCACCTCACTTTCACCTCACCATCCACCTCACCATCCACCTCACCATCCACTTCACCATCAACCTCACCATCCACCTCACATCCACCTCACCATCCACCTCACCATCCATCTCACCATCCATCCCACATCCACCTCACATCCACCTCACATACACCTCACTAACCACCTCACTTTCACCTCACCATCCACCTCACCATCCACCTCACCATCCACTTCACCATCCACCTCACCATCCACCTCACCATCTACCTCACATTCCACCTCACATTCACCTCACCATCCACCTCACATCCACTTCACATTCATCTCACCATTCACCTCACCATCCATCTTGCCTCTGGGCCTGGAGAGAGAGGAAATCCAGCAGACCTTCCATTTGGCCCTGCAGGTAAGTCCATGCAGTGTTCCCCAAGTTTGATAACAGCACAGCTTAGAAAATTGGATTCTGTTTATGGAAACTTTGTTTTCAAATTATGAGTGAGACCATTTGATCCATATTTTTACTAAGAGTCTTAGATTAACCCTATAATCAAACAGTCTGGTACATTCTGTTCTATGGAATAGGACAAATTCAGGATTCACTAAAGTCAGAGGGAAAAAGGAAGGGGGGTGGGATGGGAAGAAATGGGAGAGAAGAAACCTGAAACAGACAAGAAAGAAGAAATGTTTGCCTCTCTTCATTTCTGGGGAAGCAGGAGTTTGAGGGAAATCACCCCTCCATATTTTCCAATTGTTTAGGAAGATGTGGAAGAGCTGAAGGCCCAGGGGCCCCCAGTCGTGCTTACTGTCCTGCGCTGTCCTAGGGGAGAGTTGGAGAATCTGTTTAGCCACCATGTGCATTCACTAGACCAGTTCCACCCCGGAAGACTCCAAGCAACGATGCTTCCTACATTCACATCGGCACTTGCAATATAAACTTACACAAGATGAGCCTTGTTCTTTATAGAAGTGAGGCAACAGAACCCCTCTCAAGCCTAAGGGTCTAGGATATAATTCATTTTATGATTAAAAAAAAAAAAGCCTATCTGTTCATTTCAGCAGTCATGCAGCAAGGAAATATTTCAAATGCATTTGTAGTGAATGATCACACTCTATGGCGCAGTCAAGTTGATATGTGAAGTTCCCAGAATAGTGAGCAATTAATACTACACACACTACAAATCACTGGGGCCAGGCCAGAGATGGAATGCTGCTCCCCTACACAGAGAAATGAACTTGCAGCCCAGATGGGTAAGAGAGACCTAGCCTGTGGCTGTGCCACTTAGCAGTGTTCCCAGCACATTCATCCCCCAAAGGTGAGAACCACCTATACCTTCTAGGGAGGGTGGTGTTTGGGGAAAGCGAGATGACCCTTGCACACGGCCTGCTGAATCCAAGTGGTAAAGGGGATCAACTTGAGAGAAAAGACTTAGAGCTCCTGCAGAAATCCCACTGAGTGGGTCAGTTAGCAGATAGCTGCCTTGCTGTTTTTAAGGTCACCTTTCAAATTTGCTGTTTATCTAGGAACTCTACTTTCCTCAGTGTCTTCTGCTGAGGACTAACACAGCTCAATGAAAGCAGACTTGTTTTATATTAAATTCTGAGTCAAACGATCACTTGGAAGTTAATTGTGACCAGCTTACAACTTAAGTTCACATGATAGTGATATTTTAAAAAATGTCCTAAAGGAAAAATACTCACTTCTTCTGAGATTAACCTACTCCCACAAAGTAACTCAATATCTTTAAATAATCTGGCTAGGTGTTTGTGAATAACTGTAATGAATAATCAAAGAACTGTCTTCTCTCAATAATGTGACATAATTATTGTGAATTCCAACACTGAAAAATAAAATGTGTTAGACTAATAAGTCACAGATACATCATAAAGTATTTACAGTTACACTGGTCAAATAAATCATTTTTTTAAAGTAATGGCTCTTCTGTATATGAAATAGATTTATTTATAGAATACCAAATATGTTAAAAATGAGAAAATACATAATAAATGTTGATATGCTACTTAATCATATTGCTTTTTTCTGTGTTTTCCATCATTAAGAAAAATTACTATCATTTTAGCATGTCTATTTAATCATTTTACCTTAAATAGAATATAATGAATACATTATGCCACACGTTTTTAATTCACATAATATCATTGGAAAAGATTCCATTTATTTACATGCTATTTAAATATTCCTGTGTTTAAACTGTATGTGGTCTTTATAATCACTAAGCCTTCCAGTCTTAGGCATGATAAAGTAATCAATTCTCTACCCCAGTGGACAAATGTCAACAGCTGCCAAACTTCACAAAGCATGCGCAGCAACTATTTTCAGCCATTGGCAACACAAATCACAAGGGCATGTGCAAGAGAGAAAGAAGTGTGTGAGATAAACTGCACCTGATTCCACTTTTCACAAAGTGCAGCCGGTGGAAGTGAGTTCAGCCAAATCAGCGAGTATTCTTGCTGAGAAAAAGGCACAAGCATCAGTGGTAGTAACTATTGAGGTAGCAAGAAGATGCAGATAAGGAGAAACTGGACAGTGAGGGAGCCCCAGAAATCTTACAAGCCCTGGGATCATCAGGAGTCTCTGGATAAAAGCTATGCTCTAAGAAGTCTCACATAAAGGAATCACTAGAAGGTACATCTGTGAATCCAGAGTTTGCATCATGTAGGAGACAGAGCATTGACCAAGCAAAGTGACCATCCCACAGCAAAGCCCCTGAGCATACCCTGAAGACCTAAGAAATTTCACACTTTAAGGAGACCCCCCACTCTGAATTAACTCTCAAAAATTTTAAAGAAAAAATGATGGCTTAAAAAAAAATGATGACTGTTTCTGAGAGTTCACAGCAAACATAGAAGTAAAATGTACAATAATAACACAGAGGATGGGAGGCTATGAAAGAGGGATATAGTTGTATAGTTCCTATTAGACTCATCATTAAGGTGGTTAAGTATTCATTTAAGCCAGACTGTGATAAATTAGACCTGTATTATAATCCCAACAAAAAATACTAATAAAGCTATTATGATAGGTAAAATGAAATACCACCCTCCCCAAAGAAAGATCACCAGGACTTAATCCCTAGAATTTGTGAATATGTTGCCTTATATGTAAAAGGGGAACTTTGAAGGTGCAACAGATCTTGCAGTGAGAAGAGCAACATAATTCATGAAGATGGAGAAGATGTAATTACAAGTTTCTAATCAATGACCTAGGGTCTGAAGGAAAATGGGAAGCAGAAGTCAGAAAGTACTATTTCTGGTTTGGGATGTGGAAGGATGTGCAACAAGCCAAAGAATGAATCAACCTCAAAAGCTGGAAAAGGCAAGTAAATAGATCTGCCTCTACTCTAAGCCCTAGATAAAAATGCAGCTATCCCATTGATACTTAAATTTTGACCTTATGAGATTTATTTTTGACATATGACTTCTAGAACTATGAAATCATAAATTTACACAGTTTCAAGACCCTGGTTTTATAATCATTTGTTATGGCAGCAATAGAAAATTAATACAGTGATATATAGACATAAATCAAATAGGAAAGATAAAATAGGAGATGAAAAATATTAGACTAACTTTAACCAAGAAAGCAAGGAGGGGTGGGAGTAACAAAAAAATGAATGGGGAAGATATTTATCAATAATTATCAAGGGATTGAAATCATAGAAGATATGTTCTTTGACCACAGTGCAATTAACCTGAAATGAATTTTTGAAATCCAGAAACTTCCAAAATATTTGGAAATACTTCCAAACAACCCATGAGTCAAAAAAAAATCACAAAAAAATAAATATTTGAAATTGATCAATAATGTGAATCTAACATATCAAAATATGTGAAATACAGTTAAAGCAGTGTTTAGAGGGAAATAACAGCTTTACGTGCTTCTGTGATAAAAGAACAAAGGCTTAAAAATAATCTAGCTTTCACCTAGTAATTAGAAAGTGATGACCAATTAAAACCCAAAATAAGTAGGGGAAAATAAGTAATGATCAGAGCAGAAAAAAGTTGGAAAATAAATAATGAAGAAAATTAATGTAGTCAAAATTTGTTTATTTCTTACAAATGATAGTAAAATTGATTAACACTTAACAAGACTGAACAACAATAGGAAGAATAAATTCACCCCTAGATAATTAACCCAAATGAAATTAAAATGTATTTCCACAAACAAAATATTTACACAAGAATGCTAACAGCAGCTTTATTCATAATGGTAAAGAACTGGAAATAATCAGAAAGGCCAGTAGAAGTATGCATAAATAATTTGTTTATGAAGAAATTACTGCTTGATAATAAAAATCAAACAAATAACTGATATGCATAATAACATGGAAGGAGCTCAGAAAAGTAAGCTAACCAAAAGACATCAGATAGGAAAAAGTACAGAATACACAACAATAGATATGAAGTCCAAAAGCAGGGAAAAAATGAGGTTAGTGATGGAAGTTGGAAAATGGTTTAGGAGAGGATACCTAGTTAAAACTCACCGAACTGTACCTTAAGATCTGTGCATTTTACTATATGTAAATGGTAATATAGTTTTTTTAATTAACAACAGAAAGTCATCAAAGATCTAAAAAATGGTCTAAAGAACTATTCTATTCCTTAAGAGTGCCTATTTTCATCTTATAGAACAAGACATAAAACTTACCATTTTAAAATATTTTTACTACAGTAGATCTTTGCAAATTTAGATTTTTAGCACTTGTAGTGATAATTAAAATATCAGAATTGATTAGAGGCTCAACATTAATGACTGTTGCCTTGGTAAAGACCACTGCATAGTTCATTGCTCTTATTCAAACTAAGCTACCACAGCCCTCAAAATATTTGTCACCACAAATTAAAATTTAATGCTAGCATGCTGTGTTAAGCATTTTATTATTTAGTGTGATAATTAAAATGCACATATATGTAACTCTATCAAAATTTTGTCTTTTACCATCTTGAAAAGTGCACATATATAGTTTCTTTCCTTATCCTATTTTTTATGCATGTAAGATATTAATCTTAAAGTTTAAAGATTTTATAATTCCATTAGACACAAAATAGTTTAACAGTACATGGAAATTATTTTAAACTTTACTGAACTATATAGAGAAAAATGAAATTATTTTATAACATGCTTTTTAAATGTTTGCTTAGCATGAGATGAAAATTCCATGTCATTTGAATTCTATGCTACTATTAACTTTATTCAACTGCATTATTTTTTCATTCATCAGATATCCCTGATTTTATCAGCTCCTTGTATTTGGATAGCCAATTTAGTTCCAATCCTATAATTACTTTTTTAAGATTTATTTATTTGTGTATACGAGAACTAGCATATAGGCCAGAGATGTGAGTAGTGAGAGGCTTCACCAGAGTGGGAGACAGAGTGGGGAGCAC